AAATTCATTCACGGCAAAAAGCCCTGAGATTTCGAAATAGTTATATTTGCTTTGCGGTACAGAGACTGGTGGGAATGTTGCAAGTATTACCAATATTTACCGATAATGCCAGTGTATTTGAAAGCAATGTTATTATTATTCTTATTTTCATTATTATAAATTTAGCTAGATTTAAAGCACTAGCATCTAAAGCTTTCGGCTTTATTAAAACTCTACTGCACTTGACATTTGAACCCACGACTATTGAGTTGTTAGTCGAGACTCTTGGCTACTCGGCGACTTAGGCGGATTGAAAGCAATGTTCAAAATAAGAATCGATTTAGTTTTTGCTCGATAAAATTTCAAAAAAGACTAACTGTTAGAACCTGCAAGGCTAATGTAAACAAAACACTATTTGGTTTCAAGGAGAAGGCATTTGCCCATTGATGACGCATATCGAGGTCTAAAGTTTTCGTTGGTATTTAATTCGCCTAGTGAATAATACCAAAATTAACTTTAATGAACAAACGCCGTTCCGGCGCAAATTTATTAATGCTAAACTCTTAAGCGGATTTTGGTCTCTCTCTTTCTCTCTCTCTCTCTCTCTCTCTCTCTATATTCAATCCCCGCGAAAATTTGGAATTGCAGGTTGAATAGATAATAAAGGACAAACGTGTGGACGAGGCACAGGCATGCTTCACTCGATTCAGAAAATAATTCCCCAATGATTGCTAGAATACAAACTGGACAAAAAGCCTTCTTCTACGCGCAGCGTACATCCTCGCTATTTTAATTTCGCTTTGCGGTTGTGTTAGGCGAGAGAAGCGCAAAGCGTTTTCTTTCCTACTAGAATTGCTGGGTTGCATGTACGTACGTGCTTTTGTTCTCTCCAATGTGCGCAAGCTTCTATTATTAGCACCTTTCGATGTTATCGAAATAAAGAAAAGATTTAAGGTCTTAAACCGTATTCCACTATGATTCTATGTGGTGATATTCAGCACACATAACATATCATCTTCCGCCTCAGTTGTCCGATCTCTGCGTTTTATAATTTACTGAAATATAGAAGCGAAAAGATCAATAAAAAATATTTTTAACAACCCAACAAAAATTAAGACAAGCAGTATAAAGGAAAAATAAAGGAAGATTTTACTTACTATTATAATTTTTGTTTACAAATTAGTCCATTAATTGATACCTTTTATTGACTGAACGAAAGAACAGTCTTCTTGGTCGTTATCAACTTGCTTGATTTAAGATAACGACACGTAAGAATGGCTTCAAATATCCTAAGTACGTGTGATACTTTTACGTCTTATTGTGGGCCGAAAAAGAGCCTTGCGCCTTTCGAGAACCGATGGGGCGAACGCATGGCGTATTGATGGGTATTGCCCTTTTCAGCATTCGCAATTTACCTGGTTTCCCCAAAAATTCTGCAACCTGCGTCTGCACTGTACAGCGAGAACAGCATGGCACTAATTGCAACGTCCAAATCCTGATATTCATTTCAACGGCCCAGCAGTTTGCAAAATCACTTATCAAGCACCTCGTTCGTCAAGCCGGCGTAGTTTTGTTGTAACCCCACCTATTTGGTATCCGGCGTATTCATTTAAACAGCCTTAACCTATCGATTTCATCATTCTTCAGCAATATTATTCATTCAGCATCTGGAATTAATCTATAGGTCTCATATAATCATTCCCTCAATAAGTTATTCCGTCATCATTTCATCAGTTTATAACAGTTCTTAAAATATTAAGTTTTTTGTTCATTCCAATAGCAGATATTAACGCCAGCTATAACCTATCAGCTTTTTGAACCGTTAACATTTCTTCCAGGCAAGAAAAGTTAACTCTAACTTAAACTACACTTAACTAATAATATACATAGAAAAGGACAACAAGATATAAAAACACCTTAAGCTACGCTAAGTACGTACGATACTCTTACATCTAAGCGCGGGACCAAAATAAGTTTTGCGACTTTGGTCTTCGCGCTCCGCAAACTTTGTATAACTATGTACCACAAGTGATGCAGGGTATAAAAATAGTGGACTAGCTAATGTGGAGTTCTTAGTTGGCTTATACGATATCATACATAGATCATTTTCATTTGTTTAATTTAAATAAGAGATTTTGTTTTTTTTTAACCCAATGCAAAACATCAACACGAACTGCGTGTGTTGATGAAACTCTGTTTTTAATTAGTAAAAGTTCAAACTTAGTATTGGCTTTATGGCAAAGACAACAATTCGGACAAAGCTAACGAAATGTCGATAGTCCGCTGGTTTTCAAGCAATGCATTCAGACACGATAGACAATGAAAAGATTTGGGTGCACCAGAAAGCATCGAAATCGATTCGGAAATTGAAGTTGAAAGGGATAACTGCTATCCCAAAAATGTCGAAAGGCAGTGCTTTCAATATCCGAAATTAGATGAATTGAATTTAAAATGTCTACCCCGCTCACCATATTCTCCACTTCAGATCCCTATTGTCTATTATATGGATGAAAATCTTTGCATGCAAATTTGTAAATCTCAAAAGGTTGCTCGGAGAAAGAGATTTAAATCGTATTAATAAATGGTGTTATAAAAAAATATCGAAATGCTAGAGAAGTGCCGAACTAATTATATTGAAAAAAAAATTGTTTCCCTGTTACTTTATTCCAAAATCATTAACCAACGTATTCGTTTCCCAATTCAGCAAATGCAAGGCATTTTAGATGGTATAGCAACATGATCGGTGGAATTCAAAGGATTAAGTTCAAACCAAATTCATTTCATTTATCTTTTATCTGCGGTCCGATCGTTTTGCGATGTACTTTTATTTTAAAAATTGGGCTGAATTCCAACTTTCCTTCTTTTACTTTTAGTTTCTTCGTCGAACATTTGACAATCACAGGCAATTGGAAACTTTTTTGCAAGACGAAAACGGTCAAATATACTAACTTGACATTGAATTCTAACACATATCTATTCGTTGGCACTCAACGACAGAAACGAATCAAAATAATTTTGCTCATATGTAAATTCCCCGTCCTTTTATACGTGCTTTCGTAAATATGTTTACATATGCACATGTGCATAAATGGATACAAAATGTAATGTAATTGCAAAACTATATGAAATTACCTAAATTTTGTTTAACAAGAGTTTGCATAAGGCCCAAAATCTTAGCTATGGTGGAAAAATGAAGTACAAATAAACGTGCACTTGAAAGAAGAGAAAGTAAAAGGATCCTAATAGTAGCTGCATGTACGCGTCTCCAAATTTATTAACGAAAGAAAAATATCTTGCAATTTGAAAGCGGCTTCACTACAACAACCTGACGACTAACATTCTCTGTTCATTAACATCTTAATGAAGAAAATTAAACATTTAAAAGCAAGTGAAGAAATTATATTTTCTTTGAGGCAAACAATCCTCGCTGTACGCATTCGTATCAACGCTGTAAAATTATTACTAGTTAATTTAGCTCAATTTTTACGTCGCCCAACGAGTTATTTAGAGAAAGTCTTACATCAAAAATGGCTACAGATAGTGAATTACAATAAACCAAAATTAGACTTATAGGCGTTAACTTGTTATATGCGAGAGAAATTTTTATTTTCGAAGTCAATTTTAATGTCGTTGCCGACAACAGACGATGAAGAAATGGATGGCGCCTAAAAGGGCATGGCCAAAGCAACCATGACTGGAAAACATAGGAGCTTCACGGGATCGCTTATGCCAATTATTGTAATGTGACCGATGGAAGACCTAATCTACTATAGTACTTGGGCAGCAAATATGAATAATACTGTCTCTCACTTTCCCAGAACGGTACTTTAAGTACCATTAGTGTGTGCCGTATTGATAGTGACTACCCAGTGGTTAAAGGCATAACGCTTACCGTTTGAGTACATACGTCCCTGCCTGCGGCCGCTCTCTGCCTTTTACTTCTTACCTATTCCTGACTATCATAGTCTCACACGTACAGGAGACATCCCTCCTTAGGCATAGAAAAGAAGAATACGAAAACACAAGTAGGACATATTTATTGCCGCGTAGTGTCTTCGTTTTATTTATCCACTGATTGCACGCAATTAATATATCCTCCTTAGTGGGTGCGCAACTATCCTATTGTTAGGATAATGTGCATAGATGTGAATCATAGCAAAAATTCAAAAGAAAATCTAAATGAGGTTATTTTTACTCGCCTTATAAATCACTAACTTCAATACATAATATACATGAAAAATAGCAGATGCAACATAATTTCATTTGTGAGAAAATATGACACAAATTGCAAGCTATTCTTTTCAATGATATACATTTTTTTCTTCATTTTTGAAAAAAAAAATGAAAACATATGCGTACAAGCTTTTTGCGAAAACGTTAAGTCTGCAAGGGTTAGAAGGGATTAAGTTACAAATACAAGCAGATGCGTTTGTATACGTGCTCGTTAAATATGGTGCGTAGATAAGCTGAAAGTTTTCTATGAAGGTTTATTAAAGACTTAAAACGAAACGTCAACTTAACATGAATTTCATAGATTAACTCTTATAAGGGTATATAGTATATGTATAACCTATATATATATATATATATATATATATAATATAATAATATATATACTAAATTTTCACATCAATTAAGGAATAATTTATCATTTTCCATCGAAGTAGAAAAAATTTAAAATGTTGAATGGGTCTATTTTTCAGAAATCATCACCTGTATGACCAATATTTCTGTGTTATTGTTTTATGCATATTAAGTGATTTGGCACCAACTTGCCAATTATATCATTATTCACAAAGAAAACTTAATAAATGATTCTGCGTATAATTAACGACATCAATTGGTTTCAAATATGTATGCCAGAAACGCTAAAAGATTTGTTGTCGTCATTTTTGAATTTTGCGAAAAGATTTATGCATGCAATCAAGGGGTCTTAAGAATTGAATAAAAAAGCTTTATAATATATAATTCGTGTAGTTGATAATAAAATTCCTTCTGTTTTTATTCGTTTCATTCGTTAGTGTTGGAACCGTCGTTTCCTTATCGAGATGTTACCATACAAAAGGGAGTGGACGCTAATCAGCTCTACGATATAATCAGCGAAGTAGGCCGGTTGGTAACAACTATACTCGAAATATTTTGCATAAATATATAAACAGTTTAACGCGCTGCGCGTTATTTGGTTTCATTTAGAGGTAAATTCGGTACCGTTTATAAATGTCAAGACAAATCGACGGGATTGAAGTTGGCCGCAAAGTTTGTTCCAATACCAAAACGGGAAGATCGTCGGAATGTTGAACGGGAAGTGGAAATAATGAATTCATTGCAACATCATTTAATTATTCAACTTTATGCTGCTTACGAACACCAGAAAATGATGTGTGTGGTGCAGGAATTGTAAGTAAAAAATGCATAATTTTTTCATCACATATGCGAATTGTATACGAAATGTATTCCAAAATATGTGAGATTTTCAAATAGTCATAATACACTTGAACGCTCAGTATGCTGTCTGACTCCAAAAAGCTCTGTATCAGTGTAAATGTCGACACAATTTTAACATTTTTGACGATTTTTACTGTGGCAGAAAACTTCCCTCAGAATTATTGAATTTCTCGATAATTTAGAGTGTTTACATATGTTTCTATACATATTATTTCAATTATAATTATTGTTTCTGGAGTTTCTCGATAATTTAACGTCTTAGTTAATCTTTTCAAAGATATTCGTACATGTATTTATATATTAGGTCATATTGAAAATTCTCCGCGGTTTTTTCGCGGGTCGGTGTTGATGCCCATATATCAGGCAACACTCATCTGATTGTCTCAAACGAACATGTGGTTAAGAGGTGATATTTCCGCTTACAATTTTTATGCAGATAGTTTCCCAACTCTTTGCTCGTGGAAAAAGTTATATTGATGTGAAAATGAGTGGCGTATCTGCACGAGTACACTATGTGATGCTTCTTTATTATTAAAAAGGTAAAAGCCCTGCAAAAAAAAAAAAAAAAAAAATAGTGGATGGAATGGTTTGCTCCATTCCTTTACGGCAATTTCGATGTCAAAGAGGCACTGAAAAACTCGATGAAATTTTGCAACTGGTAGAGCAAGACAGGCAAGCAAACTCTAAGAAAATAGCAGGGCACTAAACATGAACAACATGACAATTTGGCATCATTTGAAAAGAAGGCTACAAAAAGAAGCTCGAAACCGCGAAAAAAAACGGCGGAAACTTTCAATATGACCTAATATATATATATACATGTATGGTATTATTATTATTATTAGTATTATTATGAATTTAGCCACGGAATAAATTCTAAGACTAAAGTCTTAAAGCACTAGCATCTAAGGCTTTCGGCTTTATTAAAAACTCTACCGCACTTGACATTTGAACCCACGACCATTGAGTTGCTAGTCGAGACTCTTGCCTACTCGGCCACTCAGGCGGATATATGTATGGTAAAAATAAGAATTGCTTCCATAAATATAAATTTATATATCTTGCATCATCTAAGTATATGAGACAATTTAAAAGTATTAAGACGTCTCTATTAATGAGGTGTGATTCCAATGGAATCTCAACGTTCTGAATGCTCAATAATTTTTAGAGTGCCGGATATATCAATTGCACGCCACTGTACCTTTTTACAGAAAATATTTCTTATACTTTAACAAAAGAACAACGGATGGTCAATTTAACTCATTTCGACTTACGAGCTGCAAAGAAATAGTTATAAAGCACCTAATGACCAAAAATTTAGCTTCTACTTATATCAACATTTTTATATTTGTAACCACTTTTCCTGTAAGGCTTCTGGTTTTCAAGATGCCGATGACGTGTACGTCAAAGTGAGTGCTTTCGGTTAAGCTCGTACCTTCTTCGATCGATTATGAGAACAATTAAATAAAATAGACTATAAAAGAGAAACTGAAGTAAAATTGACAATTTCTTTCGTTTTCCTTTATAACCTACCACATTATATACACATTTTCAAAAACTTCTTATTCAGATATTGGCCGGGCATATTCCCTCCAAGAAGTTCTCTGGTCGGTGTTACGTCCACAATTAACGGATAAACAGTTGAAAGTATGTTTTCTATTTTGTTTTTTACTTTACGATGCTATTTGTGTAAATGATGTAAAACATTGTTATACAAATTTCACATTATAACTGTAATTATAAGACACATGTATCAGCGACATACATATGTGGCGTAGTCTTACTACGATTACATTATATTAACGTACCACAGACGTATTTATTACATTTATTACATGAGTGATAAGAAGCTTTATTTGTTTTGAATAAACAACTTATGTTTGCAGAACGAAATTTTAATAGCCTTTTTAAGCGAATTGCGAAGTCCACAGTTTGTTTTTGGAAACGGTTTCCTTGTGCTTATTATATATATTATATATATGTCGACTACAAAAGGGCAAAACTCGTTCGTAGTCATAGTAATGAAACTTTCTTATAAAAGTCTCACGTAGCACCAAAAGTTAAAAAAAGCCAAAACTCCTACAATAAGAGCAACAGAAGCCGTACAAGTACGATTACTTTTTGCGTATTTGTAAAGCCATCGTCACCATTTTTAGACCGAACATGCAAATGATCCTGACAAACAACTTTTTGAAATATTTCTATAAGCTACAGATGACTATCACAAAAGAAAACAAAAAACGTCCTTTCCAAGTTGATTCAATTCTAATGCGTGTACCAGATCCCTCCCTTTTCTTGGCATTGTCCCTGTAAACGATAGAAGATTGCGCCTACCGCAGCTTCAGCTTTCATTTCTCCTATTTTCATATTTGCAGCTGTGGTAAGAGTAATGACAGGTGGCAACATCCAACCTCTATGGTGGATACATCAAATCATCTCTACCAAACTATGTTTGCTTTGTCTAGCCTTGCATTGCCACGACAGAAAATGGCATTATTGGCCAACTATGATCGCATTACTTCAACCGAACGCTTTAATGGTAATAGTTACTAACAGCAGAGAGTGAAACCAGTCGCCTGACCAGGAGGTGGATAAACGGCGATCGATTTGCAGGCACATCAAACACGAAACATAATCTTTAGTGACTCAGATCAATAACTTTTTTTGTGTCCAACTTAATGCAAATGGGTGACCGATGTTTTTACTTAATATTCCGCGGAAGGTTTTTGTAGAACTTGATAAATTGTTGGTCCACCAGAGCACGTCGTGTCCTTAAAATTAACGAAACTTGTGAAATGGAAATGTGTGAACTATTTGCTGATTTTGATAAAGCATCTGTAATATCAACGCAACAATATTTTTCATAAGCCGGTAGACGCTTTATCGCCTTGGTTAATATGATATAGCTTTATAAGCACAGCATAAACCATTGAGTTAACATAGCCAAATTGCAATCAATCTGCGATTATTTCTGTTTTATAAAAATTCATAAACGCATTGTTGTCGCTTTACAGGGTGGAAGGAGGTGAGCTATTCGATCGTGTTGTAGATGACGAATTCATTTTAAACGAACGTGTGTGTGTTGTTTTCATACGGCAGTTATGTGAAGCAATGGAATACATTCATCGCCATAATATACTACATCTGGACCTGAAGCCCGAAAATATCTTATGCTTGACAGAAGGAGGTAACCGCATTAAGATCATTGATTTCGGCTTAGCACGGAAATATGATCCTGACAAAAAACTACAGGTAAACTTTTATGTCCCTAATGGAAGCGCTTTCTTTTTATCTTTCTTTAGAGTTCAGTGAAACAGGCGAAGTAGGAGAGATTTTTCTCAATTATCTTATAAACGGTACAGAAAATTCAAAGCGTCCATTAAATGAAAAAAAATTTTTTTCGAATAAGTTGCAGTGGTGTTATCTGTTATCTGTTAGATGTAGGAAACCCTCATGGGGACATATTTCAAATTTCAATTCAGATGTTAAGTGTTCTCTGCTTTAGTTATTTTACTTAAAATCTCATATTTTCTCTAGCGTTTTCTTAAATATTTTTATTGTTTCTTAATTAAATACTTATATAGATACTGTTCGGAACACCAGAATTTGTAGCTCCTGAAGTGGTAAACTTTGACTGCATCTCTTATGGGACAGATATGTGGAGTGTCGGCGTGATAACGTACGTACTGTAAGTATATTTTTACGTAGATTGTAAAAAGAAAATAAATAATTCTTTATTTTATTTATCCTATTGTCCTATTGTCTTTATCCATTCCAAGTCTCTGTGAATTCCATGTGAATCTTTCCATTTAGTTTGCACAGAAATTTTAATTCGCTCTGATTTCTCTCCAAATTTCGACAAATGCCACATAAATCAGCCATTACTCAACAATCACTACATAGTTGTGATGTATACCAGAGTAGGAGGGATTCAGTAATGTTGCGATTTATTTATTTATTTATTCGAATATACATTCCATTATATGCATCAAAAATTGGCTATACTATAGCCATATTGTTTCTCGCGTTTTTGAAAAGTTTTCGATATTCTTTTACTTACCAGTGATTATCGAAATCCCTTAAAAGTGGGTTAAAATATCCGAATGTCAGTTTAGATACTTGTGAGAAAGAAGAAATGTAAAAAGATCGAAAATTCAATATATTTCCATTAGAAACTTCCAATTTGTGTAAGATACCTATTTCATATTTGATAATAAGGCTTTTTTGAAATTATAATATTTCTTGCAAATGATCCTACATTTAGCGTTTTAATTACGTGGTTACATAGAAGAATAAGACTTTGTCGTTTGTTTACTTTATATGTACAAGCACGTAAATTTCCTTTTATGATGATATTCTCAATTATTTAATCAAAACTTACCAAGAATGTCGTACTTGCAAAATATGTAATTACAATAGCTACAATAACCTTTTGCTCTTGTCGTTTCATGAACATTACCACAATGAACAAACGAAAAATGGAAATAGCATATCCGGCCTTTCACCGTTTATGGGTGAAACTGACATTGAAACAATGGCAAATGTGACCATAGCAAAATACGATTTTGAGGATGACTCCTTCAGAAATGTATCTCCAGAGTGCCTGAATTTTATATCCAAACTGCTGGTTAAGGACTTAGTGTAAGTTGACCGTATTCTTTATCCTACTCTATTCACGAAAACTGATAGTACAAAAATATATTCTTATCCACTTAGTAACCGCATGAACGCTTCTCAGTGTCTACAACACAAATGGTTGGAAAAGCGCTCAAAACCTTCATCGAAAAACAAAACCAAATTCACAAACGTCAAAACCACTAAGCTGAAAGATGCGAAGTCTTTGCTCATAACACTTCCTAATGACTCCGCAAACGTAGAAGCAAGCAAAGCAGAAGCCTGCGGTGATTTAACAGAGGTAACTACGTATTTATGTAAACAAGAAGATCAACTAATTCATTAAAGATTTTTATTTGACTAAAAGTGATCTCACACTAATTGTTTTACTTGGTTATCAGCAGAGAATAAGGTTTATCAAATTTGTGCTTGCCATTGCTACGTTCAGGAAAACATACGTATACACAAAGTATGCATAGAGTTTTGTCCTTGTTCACTGATTTTAAGTCGATTTAGCCTTGTTCATCTGATTATTTGCCATCGGCTTATGTCTCAATCCCTGAAATTAAGATCGAAGATCGGCATTTGGTATATATGCTCTTATTTGGACCCAACAGAACAGCTTTGAAAGTGCACGTGACCTGACTGCAGCCTTGCGCACCATTAGATGAAAGTGTAACTGGCAGTTCATACGAAATGCTCTAGTTAAAAATTTTGTCTAATTATTTAAAATAACCTTCGCAATGGCCAAACTTTGCATGATTCGAGGCCATTCGAGAATTGGACATTGGTGGAAACATTTCCTAAAACGTCCATATAAGCAAAGATAAACTACCTAATACGCCTACTATTTCCAAATACTTTAAAATTTTTATCATTTTAATCTCGGAGGTCTTATTAAAAAGAAACGAAACCATCTTTTAATTAAAATAATTAAAACTTTTATTTCAGCATGGCGGTCTCTTACTTTCGTTGTTTATTTTTCAATAATCGGATTTATGCTCTCGAGGGTGAACTTGTTCAATGTTGCTGAATTATTTCAAAATATTGCCATAAAACGCTGAAAATTTTTTCGAGCACAGGAAAAATAGAACCAAGAGCTTCAAAAAATTTCATAGTCCAATGCAAGGCATTAGAGAAAAAACGAGAGGTTTACTCAGCACGTTAAAAGGGCATGAAAAGCATCACTAAAGCATAATTTGCATTTACTTGTATTATTTCATTTAATACTTTCGTTCATAAGCATCTCTTCTCTTTTTCTTCTTTTTATTTTATGTTTGTGACAACGAACGCGAACGTATAAACAAAGGAATTGGAGGCAACAAAGGAAAATCTTAAGAATTTTATAGAACGCTGGGAGGCACATCCCAACAGTCCTTATGTATTCGACGTTGAGGAGAATGTGATAGCGCCGCTTACGGGAAATGAATATAAAAAGTTTCATGGTGCTAATAGTATATTATCCTCCAGAGGTGAGTACAATCTCACTTCCAGACCAAGAACAAAAACCAAATACAGAAAAGCAACGATAACAGCAACAACAACTACTGCTACAATAACAACCACTACACAGAGACAGAAAAAACAACAACAACAATATAATCAACAGCAACAACAACATTTAATAACAAATGAAATAACATTCAAAGAGATTTTTTAGATAGAGATGAAAAGATGTCAGCGTTTCTATGTGGGCATGAGTAGGCGTATAATGTAAGAGAACAATTGATTGTAAATAGAAGTATATTTATACATACATGGGACTAGATATATTGAAGCCAAAGTTTGAGGCATACATGCAAACACGAAAAAAGGGATGACCACATAGGGTAGCAATGTTTTCTTAGCCAAATAAAGTAAAGTCTCGAGTGTACAAACAGAAATTAAAAGATTTTTCATTCTCTTATACTGTGACAAACCATATAAATGGTACGAAAAATTTACACAATCGACAAAAACATTAATCAAAAAAATAAATTTTAGAAAAATTACTTTTCTGACCACCGGTTAGAATGCGCAATTTCATTGTTTGATGTACCATTTTATGTATATGGTTCCATCGTTTGGAACACTTCAATGTTCACTGTTATGGTTCAAAGAAGAATAAAAAGCAATAATGACTTGAAAACTGTTTTAGGCCCCCAAGCTACCATACTGAAAGTAATCAGGACGATTCAATGAAAGAAGTGAAACACTTTTCAATAATCGACCAGCCGTCGTAACTTCTTTTTCCATATAGAAGCATAAATAAATGAAAACAATATAAAATAAACAAGATAAAAATCTCTACATAGAATCTTATATGATATAACAGTGATTACAATAAGGGTTTGCTCTACTCTACTTTTATGGTAAAATAAAACTTAAATATATATATATATATATGTGTAGATACATATATAGACGAAAATAAAAATGTAGGTGTTCACTCCTGTGTAAAACTGTTGCGTTTTATATCTACTAACTAAGAATGAATATGTATTGGCTTTGCCGTTCTACTCACATTATTTTCCATTTATTGGTGGAACAACTAAAGTTGATATGCTTAAATGGAAAGATAAAATTTGCTTAATTCACCCACACGGATCGAAACACAGATGTCAAAATTCTCTTTAAAATAAGTTGTAAGTTACTGTGGATATCGGTTTAGAATTTTGCGCTAATATTCAAGCTTTGAAAGCTTAGTGCAAGAATTCTCCCGATCAGCTAAATAATAAGCAAAAATATTGGTCGCTCACGTACCTTTGCTTGAGGTGCTGGGTATTTAAGAATTGCCACAAGGCTGTTATTACATTCCTCTTTGGTTTTTTTTTCTTTTAATAATAATTTTTACGTTTTGATACATTTGCGTTTGATTCCTCTTCATTTCTCGCTCTGCCGAGTCAAATGCTATATTTTAATACAAGGTTTTAAACTTAATTCGCGCACCACAATCTGCTGAAATATTAAAGCCAGATAACATTTTTCACGGTATATGAAACTCAGAGGTAAGCTTTACCGTTTTACTCAAATATTAATTAATCGTATTCAGAAAGCATCGTTTGTAAATTCTCATTTCTTTTAATTCGGTATATCAATAGATGCTTGTATAGACAGACATAAATGCACGCATTCATACAGGTTTCTAAAATCGTAGCTGTTCGCGATAATTTCTTTTCACTCATTCTGTCATGCGTTCATCACCTCATTAAACAGACTAAGAATATGTATCTAAAAATGTTTCGCATACAATTTGTGTACATACATAAAAAGCGAGAAAATTTCGCAATTAGCCCTTTGCCCACCTTTTTTAAATTATTCTGGTTTCTTTAGAGAAACTGTAGAAGTTTCATACAACATTTACACAATACATGCATTCATTACGGATACTACATCTTTTTGAGCACACAGTCGTTCGGTGATGGTTTTCCGTTAAGAAAATCAATTTGCAATGCTAGCGTCCAAGAACTCTTAAATTGAATGTAAATATCTTGCTTATATTCGTATTTTATTTAATTACCGAGAGTAGATACATAACTATTTCAAAAACCATTTAATCGATTTTTTTGGTATGTTTTTTCCAACTCTGTAGCATTTTCTCCATCTCCTTGTGAATCCCTCAGCACCATAACCGACGATGAGAAAAAAGAAGTTCAAAGTGATTTGGTAATTGAAGGCCAAAATGCTGCTGACGTGCCTGCAAGCAAATCCAATGAGAAGCTATTTCAACGTAGTTGTAGCAGTTCAGCAACCCTTATGTCATCGCAAAGTCCCTTTGAGAATGAAATATATCAATCGACCAGCAGTTTCATGAATTTGGAGCAACGCTCATTACGGTCCTATTTGCATACATTCGATCGCCGCAATTCGGACACCGCTTGTTTATTGGGTCGCAGAAGTTCTGGGGAGCGTGTAAATCTAGCAAATGAAATAAAAAAGTTGTCCGATCACTTACTAATGTTAGCTGAAATCAACACAAAGTTGGATAATGAAGTTAAAGCGGAAGCTAATGAAGTACACAACGCAAAGACGAACAAACCAATAAAATCGAAAAATCAATTAAAAATAGTAAAGGCAACAAAAAAAGCAAAAGAAGGTAGCAAAAATATTTCTGACGCAGCTATCGCACAATCTACTGGCGTAATTGATGTAACATCAACAAGTGCCAGCGATTGCTTCAACCACCTAAATACAACTAATACGCGTACGACTTCTTTAACTTGGCGACTGCAGAAATCCTTGGATGATACACCTACACTAAATAATAACAAATTTAAAAACATCATCGCCTCTAATTCGAACAGCGCAATAACGGTCGCAAAAAAAACGGCTTCAGTAACTGAGGCGGCTAGTATAAAACGTGCAAAATTTCGCATAAATCAAATGAGTCGCGATGTTCCTATAGGTCTACCTGATATGCATCAGACTGTTTACCTGGAAGAGGCAGCAAATAATACTAAAGATTGCCTTCTACATTTGCTGGAAAAGTACAATGAGGCCAGGACACGGAATCCTTTGGGTCGTCATCAGAGCATCAGCGTTGATTACAATTTCAGTGACAATCTGGAGTATCGCTCAATGAGTTCAATAAATGCGTTTTTTCAACGGCATAGCCATACCGGCGACAACGTACGACAATTACAAGCACAACTAAAGGACAGAACAGGGAAAAACCAATGAACACCGCGCGGAATTTTGGTTTTTTTATTTTTATTGTGATTATATAATTAAAAATAAAAATAAATAGAAATTAAAGAATTTTCTACGGTTTTTCTATGGTTTATGATATCATCCCTAGCGGCCTATTTTTTTCCAAGACTAAAATCTTAAAAGACTAACACCTAATGCGATCGGCTTTATTGAAAACTCTACCGCACTTGAGATTTTAACTCCTTCGCTTTTGCGTTTTCTCGTACATACACGCTTATATGAGCCAACGAAGAGAAAAGAGGATATATAAAATAACGCAATCGCATTTTGATAACTGCCTATATTTCGCAAATAGTGCATGAGTGTCTGCAATAAGTTGTGAATTTCAGGCCACATATAGAGCTAATCTGTTAATTTAGAGTTTAGTTCCTTATTTTCTTTTAATAACAAATGCAGATACGCTGCCCAAAAAATACAAAATGTTTCTATAATAAATCTCGATAGAGGTAGGTAGATATAATTGTCGCTCGAGCGAAAAACCAAAAATTTAAGTCTTGAAAATAAGAAGTAATGTCCGTGAAAAATAAGATTAATGAAACCTTGCATATTTCAGTGTGTAATAAAAGTAAATACACGATATTAAAAATAAAAGAAACAATAAGAAAACATAACAAAAGATGTTGTGCGAAAAATTATAAAACGAAAAATAATTTCAAAACTGCAAATGGTTGGAGAATAAAAAATCAAAATCTTAAAAACAAAAAGACGAAAAAAGAGAAAGCAAACACTATTAGAAAAAAAACGTGCGAGGACAGTGCAAAAACAAAACAATAAGCATAAAAGTATAAATTCTGATGGTAAGAAGTTAAAAAATAATAAAGACCCCCAAGTTACTAAGGTAAAAAGTGATACTACGTAATAACCTGCACTAGGGGAAAGCATCGAAAAAATAGCGGGGTGCTAACTGTAGTCTTGTGGGAAAAGTAAAGCAAATTAGCGAACATCCTAAATTTTCGCAATAACATGATGCAACCTACTGGGATAGCAGAAAAATCCGATAAATACCCCAAAAAAAATTGAAAAAAATCTGTTCTAAACATTTAATAAATGTATGTAGTTTAACATAAAAGTGGTACATTTTATTATAGTATTATTATTTTATTATAGTAAAAATATTTTATTTAAGGTATCGTAACAATAACGTCAAATTTATTTATTTATTTAACCATGAAACTCAACTAACGTAAATTAACAGTCGAATTCGATTGACTCTTAGACGTAAATGTTATACTAATTATTATTAAAAACTAATTAATATTACAATTATTAAAGTATGTAAAGAGAAGTAAAGAAAATATAATCATAATAATTAAATAATAATTCCTGTATAAACAAGTAAGAAAGAAAAAAAAAATTATGTATACAACTAGCACAGAGGCGCACCCACAAACAGTATGGAACCAAATTGCAAGTGAACGCCTAAACCATCGCAAACATGCAAAAGCTTGGCAACCGATACAGTAAATAACACCAATTAATTTCCGATTCATAATGGGATCTTAAGATTAAAAGTTAGTTCGAAAACGGAATAGGCAAATCGCTCGTATTAAGCACAGTTGTTTTTAAAAGGCTTTAGAGAATCCAATATTGAGATTAAGTGATAAATATCATTCATATTTCTGCAACAACTCTAAACGGGTTAAATAGTCAATAATTATACTTACATTGACTGAGCTTAATGAACAAGAGTGCCAAGAGAGGTGGTTAAGGACATTAAAGCTTATCTCATTAAGCAATGTGGACGAATCGGTAGTACCACATATTAACTTAATTAAGGAGGAAACACTAGGAATAAATCAAGGTAAGAATAACAGAACAATCCTATTTTCATAAGCAGGCAGAAAGACAAGCGCGTCCTAACCCAAAATTGGTAAGGGCAAACAGTAAGAATTACTTTTGAACGTATTCAATTGAAACTACTTAGTATCTACAGAAAGGAGACCATACAATAGAGGCATATCCAATCATTTGTCTAACTGAGCACATTCATAACCTTTTTTAACGTAGGGATCCTTAAGCTCTTTGGACCATTAATTAATTAAATTCAGCGCGGACCTAGCTTTATTTAAAGAAAGCTCAATGTGCGAAAAAAAACGTAATCTAATAGAACCTCCAAATCGATGAACCAATCAACGTTTTCCAACTTGCATGAATCATTGAAATACTCACTATTGAATGACCTCCTCCTTAAGAAAGAAGAGCTTTGCATTTTTTAGAATTCAATTAAGTAGAATTTAGCGAAAAAATGTAACCAATTTATTTAAATAAATTTGAAGCTGACACCAGTGCGATTTCCAAGAGAAAGAAGGAAACAGTGTAACATCATCAGTTTACCTTAAGGTCTGGAAGGCTGGATTTAATCACCGAGGGGAGATCATTAATGTGTGAATTAAATAAAACAGGGTCCTAAGCGGCTGCCTTGATCTGTTATGCAGATAGCGAAGCCAGAAGCCTAGAGTTTTAAGATCAATGACTTATGGTGAATTAAGTCAACTTAATCTAATGGACAGAAAAAGCTTTATATTGTTCTATTTTAATAAGTACCATCGTTAAGCCTTGCTTAAGCTTTTGCTAAGTAATTATGGAGGAAATAATCAGCAAACATAAACAATAAATGTACACTAAACCAAAAAAAATTTATTACTGTCATGTCACTATTTAAGAAATAAAAATAATGTTATGGAATAAAATTAAAGGAACAAATGTAAGAATTCTTTAATTTGTTTGCATTAACTCTTTTTAACAGGGAATTGTTGTGATCGTAGATCACCAAGAAACATTTGCGTAAACTCCTGCTTTTAATTGCCATCCCGAAGAAGAGCACTGAAGTTTGACGCCCCAGTCAAATCATTGGATAGTGGTGCATTTTCCTCTACCAGTAAAGCAGTGCGATAAGTAAACTTTTAATACGATTTTCTGTTTGTGTTTAATTAAACACCCAATTGATTTTATCTATTTAGCCATAGTGTAATGGACATACCGCTTGAAGACGATATGCGGAGCACAACTCCGAAACGTATGTAAACCCACGCATATGATTTATTATTTAAAAGGTTTAAAGTTTTAAGGTCGTTTAACGCCAAATATTAAAGCTGAAAACAAAAAAGGCCAGTTTCCTCTATTACCAGATGCTAAGTGATTTCGACGATGATGAGGAGGAACTTAGTTAAATCCTTTATAGTTCTACTCTAATCTGATCTAAAAGAAGACCTTTTTTATGGTAACAATCTTTTATTATACCCACCACTGTAACAACACTGGACTATATTCATTTTGTTTTATCCAAAATATATGTAAACACCCAAAAGGAACCATCAGAGACCCTATAAAGTATCTATATTCTTCACCGGCGTGAAATTCTGAGTTGATTTAGCCATATCCGTCCGTCTGCGTGTCTTTATGGTGTGTGTTGTTGGCACTCTCCCGATCGCAAAAATGAAGATACCGACTTTAAATTTGGTAGGAACATTGAAAGTTTCTGCACGCAGTTTGGTACTTAAAATGGGCCAAATTGGTCAGAGCAGAAGTGCGCAGTGGAGCGTAAACTGAACACAACTTAGTTTTTTTAAACAAAAATTTGTGGATTTTTTGGTCGTTCTTCCGAAATAATTAAAGTTAGAACCGTAAAATTTTTCATATATACCTTGCGAAACAGTCTACTCTTTAGGTCCGAAAATGGAACCAATCGGCGGTACCCACACGAGGTAACTAAAGTTTATTTTTTTCACTATTGTGAGATTTTGTGCCTATTTATCATAAGGCAAACAAGATAGAATGTTTAAAATAATTTTGCAGGCTCCTCAAATGAAGATGTATTATCCACCTAAAAATGGTGTGATTTTAAAATGAGTATGGTAGATATCGCGACGAATTTTTTCTTAATAACACTAGCGATATTGATACCAAATAAAAGAACTTTGTGAGTAGATTACAAAAAGTATAGCGGTGGATATGCGAGATTCGGCCCCCGGAGAATATAACTTTCTTACTTGTTTTTTATTTTTATATATGTAATATTCTATATTTAACATATACATATGTTTATTTCTATTATCAATCAAATACATCAATGAAATAACGAAATATGTATTAACAGAATAGAAATAATAAGAAATTTGTAGCGAATGTGTTGACGACATATATTTTTTCACTTGTTTTACTTGATTTCAGGTAATTTTTTTTTACGGTTTTTGTTTCTGTCACTAATCAAAGAAATAATTGTAATTTCAGAAGTTACACTTCCTATAAAAAAACTTAACGTTTTTCTTTTTTATCAAACCTTCGTAATAGTTACAGAAAGATACAAAGCCGTTTTTTTGGGGATGAGATGATTTTCGATGACTTCAAATTTTGACGCGGCTCGTTTCACTCCATAGGGAGTAGTTAAGCATCCAATTGGTTGAAGCTGCTGCTACTGGTTTGGACTCGGCGCTCAGTTAATTTTGATGGATGCTAAAGCATTTTGCTTTGCCTAATTAGTCCAATACGTTCTCTATTACTGTTAATATAATCGCTATAATCGATGGCCCTAATCGATGAGTAGTCTCAATTTTTTTTGCATTGTTGGTCTCTTTTGTGTAAAGGACGTAATGGTGAGTAATGAGTGACAGATTGCTCTATATGTTTGCCTTGAAGTAACTGATTGACTTGATTTCTTCAGCTTGGAAATATGGCAGTTTATAGTTTTGATATACTGGTGTTTTGTCATGTAAATCTATTTGTTGTTTGTAAAAATTATTTGCTGTTAATTGTCCGTGTTTGAGGTGGAATATTTTTTGGCATTTCTGTATAATTATAGTGAGTTGAGATTCTTCATTATTGGTTAAGATGTTGTGGCTTAAGGTGTTGAAGATTTTTTTGAGTAATTTTTGCTGTTTTTATTTATTGCTGTGGTCTTCTAACCGTCTTTAAGTCCGGCTGTTTCGATTCTTAGATTTTTAATTAGAACTGCGTGTCTCTTTGCAAGGAATAAGGAGCTCCATATATTTGTTCCCATCTGCTGGTATTATCGTTTTTGCTAGGTATATACCACTTGTTAAATCTCTACATTGCATAGAGCGTTATTTTCCGATGTATTTATTCTGTATG